ACAGCAACCAATCACATTTACAGCAGTACTTAAAGGTACACCACTACCATCATGGTTTATATATTGCCAACCCAACTGTTACCCAACTGTACTATTCCTAATAGTACTCTTTTCAAATTTGGATACTGTCCTCCTTGTAAACAAATCACTAGTCTACGTGGACAGATTACCCATCTGGAAACTCCCATCTGTGGTCTCCAAGTAATAATTAGGTACCCAATTCAGTCATCCCACCCTATTGAGCTGCTGTGCTATCATCCCCCTCTACCACAAAGATCCTGCAGGAGAAGGGCAGAATGGACAACCATGGGATCTGGTTGGGTGAGAGCTGTGAACCGTAAACACAAAGCTTTTGCTGTGTCCCAGCATAACAAATATGAACAACAATGATACACACCGATTCTCAAGTTCAAGGCTTTAGAAGGCCAGGGTCCCCAGGGGACAAAAAACATTTTCACAACTATGAACCGACTAACAATTCCATACAAAAGACCAGAGAAAAAACCTTTGTGGCTGTACACAAAACACAAGTCTCCAACTCCACCAGGAACGACTTAGATGTGGAATCGTCAAGGATAGTTCCAATTAAAACCCCAACAACAAGCAAAGACCCATTCGTTCCATTCCACGAATCTTCCCACTCTTTGAACAAGTGTAGAGTATTTCGGAGTGTAAGACACACTTTTTTCCCTCAAAAAAGAGGCTGAAAATCTGGGTGCGATTTATACACTAAATACAGCACTTTTTGCCTCCGGAAACCCCGCCCCTTCACCAAAATGGCCGGGCATAGCTTTTAGGAGGTTTTCAGAGAGTTCCTGGGGGCTAGGGAGGGCAGAAATGAGCAAAAAACAGTCAGGGGTTTTTGCTCAATTCTGGACCCCCAGCCCTCAGGAACACTCCTAAAGGCTATCCATGCTTTTTAAAAAAAGGGCTGTTTTTGCAAAAAATGGACCGTTTTTTGCTCAGTTTTGGCAAAAAAAACCCTGCAGCACTCCTGCAAGCCTCCTAAGGGCTATTCATGCCCTTTTTGGGAGGTCTACAGAATGCAAAACCTTTTTTTAAAAAAGTTGCCTCTTCAAAACCTTGGTGCGTCTTATACTCCAAAAAATAAGGTAGCCCGAGCCTGTAAAGATGAAGTGAGGAAAGCTAAGTTCACAACCAACAAAGGCTTGCAACAAAAGAAAAAAATAACAACAAAAGCTTCCTCCAACATGTTGAAAACAAGAACAAAGTCAAGGAAACAATTGGTCCATTGCTGGGAGAAAGTGGGAAGAAGATGACAAGCAAAAGGAAGAAAGCAGAATTATCTAACTCATTTTTTGAATTTGTCTTTACACAAAGGGGAAAAAAACTATATCTAAAGATCCTGGAGCATTGGGGAACTGCCAGAGGACTGGAAAAAGGCTGATGTGGTTCCCATCTTCAATAAAGTAAAAAAACATACATCCAGGAAACTTCAGATCTATCAGCTAACCTCAATACCAGGAAAGATTCTGGAAAATATAATCAAGCAACGAATTAATGAACACCTAGAAATAAACAAAGTAATAGCCAAAAGCCAACATGGGTTTATCAAAAACAGATCATGGCAGACTAATCTTATTGCATTCTTTGACAAAGTGACAAAAATAGTGGACCAGAGGAATGCCGTCGATATACTTTACTTGGACTTCAGTAAGGCATTTGATAAGGTAAACCATAACTAGATAAAGTAGAATAATGTGGGTTAGACAGCATCACCACCAGATGGGATTTCTAACCAGCTGCCTAACCGCACTCAACATATAGTCCTCAATGGAACTGCATCTACATGGAGGGAAATATGCAGTGGAGTACCCCAAGGCTCTGTTTTGGGGCCAATACTATTCAACACCTTCATCAATGATTTGGATGAGGGGATAGAGGGGAACTCATCAAATTTGCAGAAATAGCCAACACTCCGGAGGATAGGCTTAAGATACAGAAGGATCTTGACAACCTTGAACATTGAGCCCTATCTAACAAATGAAATTCAATGGTGAAAAATTTAGGCAAGAAAAACGAAATGCACAGGTACAGTATAGGTGGTACCTTGCTCAACAGTAGTAACTGTGAGGGGAATCTTGGAATCCTAGT